GTCCTTTGAGAAAATACAGGGTTCTGGTAACCTGATTGGTTCAGGTCCTCTGAAGTTAAAGCTTCATGCCTTAAAGCTGCATTCTCTCTAGTGTCCACCAGGGGGCGACTCCTCTGGTTGTATAGAAGTCTATGAGAAAATGACTCTACTTCTCTCTTGATTTATTACCTCAGTAAACATTGTAAACATGAGTTTATGGTCTCAATCTCTAGTTTCAAGTCTTCTTCAATACAGCATGATGTTCATTTAGTACATTATGGTCCATTTAGAGTCAAACAGACCATAAAGCAGGGGATGCTTTAGGGCGGGGCTACACGGTGATTGACAGGTCTCTAATAGACTATAAAGCAGAGTATGTTTGATGATGTCGTCGTCTCTCCAGATGCTGACGTTCCTGATGTTGGCCCGGCTGTCATCTCTGTGTCCCAGTGCCGTCCTCCAGAGACTGGACAGACTGGTGGAGCCGCTGAGAGCCACCTGCACCACCAAGGTACACCTGCACCAGTAGACCCCCAGTCCCCCAGTCCTGTATATAATAAAGTATATAATAAGTTCCAGTATATCATCATCAAAATATACTTAAAGTACTAAAAGTAAAAGTATTGATTCTGCAGAATAATATATATATTTTATTGATGCATTAATGTGTAAATAAAGGCGACTTTATATACTGCTGGTAGTTTAATATATAATAATACATCATCGTGTATTAGTTTGTTGTATTTAGTTTTAAAGTAACTGAAGTTATCAGATCAAATAAGTCACTACGAGCAGTAAATGATCGAATATAAAGAAGAGGATAAAACTAGTAATCAGGTACTTGTTGTGTAGTAGAAGTATAAAGTAGTTGATGTCTGGTGTGTTCGTCTGCAGGTGAAGGCGAACTCAGTGAAGCAGGAGTTCGAGAAGCAGGACGAGCTGAAGCGGTCGGCGATGCGAGCCGTGGTGGCGCTGCTGACGATCCCCGAGGCCGAGAAGTCGCCGCTGATGTCGGAGTTCCAGTCTCAGATCTCGTCCAATCAGGAGCTGGCGGCCATCTTTGACTCCATCCAGAGGGACTCCAGCTCCGCCAACATGGAGTCCATGGACACCAGCTAGGAGAGAGACGGACAAAAACACATTCCCCCATGATGCAACACGCCACCAACCAAGCCCCGCCCCCCCTCCCCCCCCTGCTGCTGGAGCACGTACCCTGCAGCATGTTTCCATGACAACAGGACACACACACACACACACACATGTAGTGACACACCCATGATGCATTGCACTGAAATCGGAAGAAAGGAAGCAGACTGATGTACGGACAAAATCTAAGAACAAAAAACAAAACAAAAAAAAGTTCCATATGAGGCTTGGAGGCTCCTCCCCCTTCCTGTTTGTTTTTACTTGCGAGGCCGTCTGATTGGCTGATCTCCCTGTTCATCATCATCCTTTTTTTTTTTTTTTTGTTATTTCCATAAAGTTCCACAGGTACTGTGCTGTAACCTGATTGGCCGCTGCTGAGTGACTGATAGTTGGCGTGTTATCGAAACCGACCAATGGGGAAACGGCCTTTTATTGCCTGACGGTGTGGTGACCAATGGAGAGCTCGCTCTGGTTGTTTGTTTTTTGAATGATGTAGGCAACCAATAGGATGCTTAAGTGAGTGTGTGGGGGAGGGGGCAGGAGTCAGATGAAGGGTGGGTGGGGTTTTACCGTTTGTGGACCAATCAGCTTTCTTTGTTTCCCCCTGATTCAATAGCCCCGCCTCCAGTCCCTTCACTCCTCTGAAGGGAAGAGGGGACAGATTATTGGTCCAACGGTTTTGATCTGGTGAAACCGGGTCTGGTCCGGTTCGGTCCGGTTCAGTCCGGTCCGGACTGGACTGTCCACTGTTTATTGCCCAATGAAAAGAATAAAAGGGTTCATTTCTGTCTGCCTTCATACTTCTTTCTGTCTCATTTCTTCTTGTGTCGCTTCAAACAAACACAAATCTGCTTTATTTTTGTGTCTGAACATCTTCAGAGTTGTAACTCATTTAAATATGAACACAGATATTATATACATAAACGTAAACAAATACATAAATCTGGAAATCGAAGCACAAAGATGCCTTTACTTCAGTTTCACAATAATCCAGTTGTAGTTATTTGTACATTTAAAACAAGAACTGCTCATTTATAATTCAAACAAACGTGAAATACTAGTGAACAGTTTTTCTGTTTGCTGTAGTTGAAGTACATTTGAAGCAGCAGAGGGAGCCAGAACACAGTACTTCATTAGTAGTACTAGTACACCTGTGATGTGCTAATCTACAGGTAGGAATCAAAATAAACAACTTCCTGTCCAGATGGCTAAACTCTGCTCTGATTGGCTGTTTCAACGAGGCAGAGAAACCAGACGAGTGACGCTCGTTGGTCTCGGTCTCCTAGCAGCAGCTGAATTGATGAGTTTGTATCATTGACTTGCTGATGATTTGTTTCCTCTTTGAAGTTCAGTAATGTATTCTGTCCTCTGTGTTCAGAGCGCCACCGTCACCGAACCTCCGAAAAATAAAAATATTCTCTTCACCTACAGAAATGAAGAGAAAAAAACAGTCGAATAAGATTTATCGGGTGAATCTGAAGCTTCGTTTGTCTTTAATCGTCTTTTTTTCTGCTTTATATCAAATTATAATACATTTCCTTTAGTGCCTTTATTCTGAAACACATAACATCTACACACCAATATTTTGATTATATTTTTTAAGGTCACAGAAAGGCCTTTATTTTGAAAATTAGGACCATATATGTTTATTAATTAGTCAAATACAGATTTTAATTTATTTCAAGTCCCTTTATCACCAGTGTTATCATTTTATAAATCATTTTTTGTGCATTCAAACTATCATAAATACTTTTCCATATTGCCTTTATTCTGAAACACTCACTGTAATGCCTTTATTTTGAAAATTAAGTCAGTTGGTCAATTTCTTATAATTATTTTCTGATACTTTACCACCGGTGTTCAGTTTCATTCAGTCGTCATTTTACAAATCATCGCAATTTATAAATTAAACATTTCACTTAGGGCCTTTATTCTGACAAACGGAGGCGGATATTCCGCTGTTAATTGCACATGAAGTGATCCTTTATATGTTGAATGTTTGTGATAAAATGAAGGATGAAGTGTTCCTTTATGTGTAG